ATTCCTGCTAACCTGTATGCTAAAATGCAAGATTACCAGGCCTGTCCAAATCTCTTGGTTAAAAGAGCCACCTTAGAGGCGCTTTTAGTAGGGCTCTCAAATCCAAAACAGTCAAGTGCATAATTTAGAAGCAATATCTGGTGGGTGCCTTGTAAATGCTGTAATATTTCTCTGATGATTTTTTTTTCTTTTCTTTTTGAACATGCTTCGTGGGGAAAAAAAATCTATGATTGACAGAATTACCAGCTGAGGAAGGTAAGCATGTTAATGTGATCTTCTGCAATTCCTATCAATAATTCATCATATTCTTGTGTGTGTAACTAACTGGCTTTATTACTTATTGCAGGAAAGACCTTACTCGAACTTGTGATTGAACAGTTCGAAGACTTACTAGTCAGAATTTTGTTACTGGCAGCTTGCATATCTTTTGTAAGTATGACTTGGTTTTATTTCCTGGGCTTCTCTGTCTCAGGCTGAGGAGCAATGTCTATTCCAACTTGTGTGAGTTATATGCCGCCAAGTTATCCTCAAAGATAATAGTATGAGGTGCAAATTAAATTGCATGCTATGTCTTAAATAATTTACCTTGTGGAGGATTTTTTTTTTTGGATGCTGAAAAAGATGGTTTCAGGTAATCTTCTTTTGTGTGAGTTGGAACTACATAGCTAGCTGAAAAAGATGGTTTCAGGTAATCTTTTGTGTGGGTTGGAACTACATAGCTGTGCTAGAGAAGTATTAAAAAGTATTTCTCATTCAGTACAGCTTATTGACTCGAGGTGGGATTTCTCAATATTTTTTGTTGGCTTTAAAAACCTAACCTTGAGTAAGTAAGCATTTAACAGGTCATTCTTCTTGCTTTTGAGTTAATCGTTATCAAGCTCAATGTATAATCATTGGAAGACATTTTTGGATGCAATGCAGACTGTAAATAGAATTTACATGGCGAATATTCCAGTTGCCTTCCCTTCCTGATAATAGCAAGGTGACAGTTGTTGCTTTTGACAGTGACAAGAATGATGACGGCAGTGATGGCACCATTGCTGACCAAATTTGGTAACTGACCTTTGGACAGTCTAGTCATAAAATGGACATCTTGCCTTGCGTATGGGATTAAAAGAACAGGAACACTAACTTAATTTTTAAAAAGCATGTTTAGCCAGTCTCTTTATGTAGTGTGCAAAGGATGTGCATTTGCTGGAAAACTGAATGAAAGATGAAGTGTAGAAAGGGAGGTTAAAGCTTACGTGGCTGGAGGAGCTGGAGAACAAAAAGAAAAAAATGTGCAGAGTACTAAACTGTTTAGGTAGAACTAACAGTTTACAGGACTTTGCTGTGGAGTTGTAACTGACTCATTTAAAAAATGCTCGAGCTCTTGGGGCTCAGGGGAGGTGGAAATTGCCAAAGGTGAAGTGATCATGATGGACAGAGCGCTGTGAAGCTACTGCCTTTGGCAGGGAGAAAGAGGAGATGGAGCAAGGTCTCGGCAGTGCCTCTGGTTGCTGCAGTAAATTGTGGTGCTCGGTCTAGACCAAGAGAGGCTTCAGCTATCCCAGGCTGACACGTTGTTCCAAAGGGCTGGGGTTTTGGTATGCATATGCTGTTACCGCTGAGCAATGATTGGTGGCATTGATCTTGGCCATGGATGCAGATGTGCTTTCCTTGCTCTGCTATTTCCTGGGCAGGAAATAAGGCTGGCCATAGA